CGCGTCCCTCGGCAAGCCTGGCCTCTTCGCACACACCCCGCAGTGGGGCGCAGTCGTCGGCGTCCGCTCCGGTACGAGAGCGTCCCTGCCACACTCACGCCTTACTCGGAGGCTGACTCCAGCCCGTGGAGGGCCGTAATGAACCTACACACGCTTCGGCGGCTTGGTTTTCACATGCACACTTCCCTCCGAGCTGGGTCGTCTCGAGGACTGACACATACACGTCCACACTCCGCGGAGGCCTGTGCGCGCCGAGGACACGCCCACCCGGACCGCTCGGTGGGCTGGTCCCTGCGCATCGGCGCGCGAGGTCTTCTCTCTCACGCAGCCCTCTCCCCACACGCGCCTCACATCTCCCTCGTACACACCTCCCAGGGTGTCTGAGCTCAGGACCCCTCGGAGGCGCGCACACGTTCCCACACGCGCGCACTCCCCGGGGACCTGCCTCCCGCCCCGAGCGCAGCCCCTGGGGCTCACGTCAGGGGCCAAAGCGGCCAGCCTTGGCTGGCTGCGGGGTAAACCCGCGTCCTGTACCCGCCTGCAGTAACCTCCGCCCGCCGGTTCCTCACCGCGCCGCCCGCCCTCCCAGCTCCGAACTCGGCTGAGGCTGCAGCCCAGGCCTTGCTGAGTGGGGAAAGTAACCAGGCTGGGTGCGGTGCTGTGTGTGTGTGTGTGTGTGTGTGTGTGTGTGTGTGTGTGTATGTGTGCGTGCCCGCGCGCGCGCATGATGCATGTATGGTGTATGGGGGGACTGGTTTGTAAAATGTGTTGCGTGTGTGTAGTTTGGTGTTTATGTGATGTGTGTATTGTGTGGGTGTAGTGTGGAGTATATGTGATGGACGTGTGTGTAGTTGGATAGGTTGTTAAGTGCGTACATGGTACGTACGGTGTGTGTGGTGTGCCTAATGCGCTTGACTGTTATGTGGAGTGTATCGATGAGGTGTGTGTATACATGTATATCTGGCATGGATGTATATGACCAGTGTGGAGCGTGTTTGGTGTGTATGTGTAGAAGGGTATATGCGATGTGTATAGTATGTGTAGTTGCATATGTGCATTCATGTGTACATGGGCTGTTGGTGGCTATGATTGTTATGTAGAGTGTGTGTATGTGTTTGTGGCATGTGTGTGGCAGTGTGGTGTATGTGCCCGGCATGTAGAGTGTAATAATGGTATATTGACTGGAGCTGGGTCTGTGTGGTACATATGGATGTGGGCACAAACTCAACTCATGTTTGCCTTGGGCTGTGTGTGTGCCTTTGCATGTTAATGCCCACCCAGCCAGAGGGTGTGACTGGCAGGATTGGTGGCTGCAGCTCCCCCACCCAATCAGCTTGCCTTCTTCCCTCCTGGGGACAAGTTGCTCCAAATAGATTTTCCATGCCAGGCTGGGCAGCTGCAGGAACCCACCACTGGCTGGATTTAGTGAAAAGAAAACAAACCATTTGCTCCCAGGGAGCACAGTTGGGAATTAGTGTTTCCCTGCAACAGGGCCAAACCCAGCCTTGAACAGAGAAAAGGAGGGGACTGCCTCTCATCGTTTACCAAACGCTTTTCAGAGCAGAGGATAATGCCTCTAATTGCCAAGGTTCAGGGAACAACAAAGCTTTTCAGCATAAATGTTGTACGGGAACATGTTTATACCTAGGTTCACTTTCTCCATTACTTTTTTCCTTCTTTTGCTTTGCACTGGCAAGGAGACTCATCATGGTTTTGAAATAACCAAATTCATTTTTAAGCACTGAAAATCCTTGCTTCTATAAACGATCTTCCATAATTTTTCCTTTTATTTAACCTTGGCTTAAGAAGGGAAATGTAATTTGCATATATCTGATTCTAGCAAAGTCTTTATTTATTAGAGGTTGGGGAAAGAATCATAGTGGTGGCAAAGGTATTTTCAAGAAAGGTCTGAATTAAAATCTCAAAATACGTTTCCCCCAATAATCTAATATTGAAACGGTTATTAACACGAAGCTTCAGCTTCAACCCCAAGTGCCACCCTCCCAAAAAAACTCCTAAGGACTCATCCCTGACTTATAAAATCTATCCATCCCTGCTATTAATTTCACAGTCTGACTCATCTCAAAATAACATGAGTAAAAGAAAGAGAAAACTTAATCAAAGAAATTAATAATGCATTATTGCTGTAGCAAGCCAACCCAGGATTTTTTAAAGGGGGATTCCCATATCTCCTACCCTATTTTTCTCCTTCGCCAACCTATAAGCTATATTATCCATATTATATAAGACCTTATAACAATATTTTTAGTTTTTCTGTAACTAGTATTTCAACAGTATCCTTTCACTGGCTTTTATTTGAGGGCAAACCGTGTTATAAGATCCTACTGTATATGAAACCATACCATCTCAGCTAGTGAAAACAGCATGAAAAATAATGTGATATATCACCTTAGCCAGGAGGCAAGATAAATTACCCAAATACCTTACTTTATGTTAGCCACCTGATTTGAAGCTGAGCCACTTTTACATTTTCTATAACATAAAACTCATTCCATCCCCTTGCCCAAAAGATGTTATTAACCTCTAATGTCTGCAGGAGGAGGTAAATGTGCTGTGACCTCAAAGACAGACACACACAGCCTTCAGGAGGTGGTGTCAAGGATACAAGTTTTTAGAATTTTATTATAGAAAATGAAGCACATACTAGAAAGAAAGACTAATATAAGGAACCCCCATGCACCCATCACCTGGTTTTAATAAATATTAACTCATTTGGAAAATTTTGTTTCATCTATAGCTCCACCCACTCTTGACAGCTACCCTGCCACTGGATGATTTTGAAGCAAATCCCAGACATCGTATCATTTCACACATAAATATTTTAGCATTTGTCTCCAAAGGAACTTTAAAAAACCATAACTCATAATACCATTGTCATGTAATAGGATACAATTGGATCATAAATATGAATTTGACCCATAGCTGCTGATTACCTTTTCGGCTCCCCTTTAAGAATGCCACTTCTGTCTGTAATTTTCCTTTTTCTCCCTCTTTCTCTCCTGCCTTTGTCTTCAGCTTACGTGCCACTTCCTCAAAGTTTTTTCTGACCAACCCAGACTAAGTTACATATACACTCACCCTTCATATAACTTAATTTTAAGTGAATAATTAAAGAAGGAATTATTGAATTGTCTTTCCCCATTTCCCCTGTCCCTTGCCACAAACTGTAAGCTCCTTGAAGGCAAGAACATGGCCTCTGTCTTCTGTTCCCAGTGCTTAGCACAGAGAATAAGTAATAGTTGAATCAGTGAAACTTTTTCTACCTCAGACTTCCAAAGCCTGGAAAAAGTTCATCTGTGGTAAATTGTTTACTAATACGGCTGAATAATTCCTATAATTACCCTTCTTGTAACCACACCCTTAGATATTCCCCTCCCACACTGATTAAGTTTAGTTATGTGTATTAGTTGTCTATTGCTATTTAACAAATCACTCTCAGATTAAAACAATGCAGTTTCTGTGGGTCAGGAACCCAGGCATGACTTAGCGAGGTCCTCTGCTTCAGAATCTCTCACAAGGCTGCAATGAACATATGGGCCAGGACTGCCCTGTCATCTAAAAGTTCAACTGGGAAACGGTCTGCTCCCAAGCTTCCTCATTGACTGGTTGTTGGCAGGATTCAGTCCTTAAGGAACTGTTAGGCTGAGGGTCTTCATTTCTCACTGGTTGTTGGCTAGAAGGAGCCCTCAGTTCCTTTTCACATAGACCTTTCCATGGGGCAGTTCACATGTAGGAGCTTGCTTTACCAGAGTGAGCACAAGAAAACAGTCAGAAAGCGTCACAGTCTTTTATGACCTAATCTCAGAACTCCTATCCCATCACTCTAGCCGTATTCTATTCATTAGAAGCAAGTCACTAGGTCCGGCCCTCACACAAGGGTTGGAGATAATGCAAGGCATGAATATCAGGAGATGGGGATCACTGGGAGCCATCCTGAAGCTGCCTACTACACCGTGCAACTTGCTTTAGCCTATGGGAAAATAGCAAACATGGCATAGTAAAAATTTCCAGAGTATGTTCATTGGGTTTTGCCTTCCATTTCTGTGCTTGGAACCCTGAGACCACCATGTATATAAGTCTGAGCAAGCCTGCTGGAGGGTGAAATGGAGGAATAGCCTTATGGAGGAGAATGGAGGTGCCCAGTAATGAGCAGCCGATCCCTAGCCAATGATCTATCAACCACTAGAACTAACAGTGAGACTGAACTTGACCATCCTAGGCCCACCAGCTGATCACAGAAGCATGAGAGAGATCTGCTGAGCCAGTCCTTACCAGAACAACCACTAGAACAAACTATAGAATCATGAGCTACATAAAATGATTATTGTTTTAAGCTACTAAGTTTTGGGTGGTTTCTTACATCGTAAAAGCTAGCACTTACCACTCATCTTGTGTTGTAGACAAAGTAAATGAGGATTTGAGAGGCTAAATGACTTGCTCAATGTCATAGTGCAGCAGGCATAGTGGGAAAAGTTCTCTAAGACCTGGCATCAGAGCAATGCAGATGGTTCAAGCCTAAGCTCTATCTCTTTCTGGCTGAGAGAACTTGGCAACTCTCTTATGCTTTTCGGGCTTTAGTTTCTTTATCAGCAAAACAAAACAAAAGGTTTTCCTGAACATCTTTTAGCACTCAAAGCTATGACTCGTCCATGGATTACAGACAGAGGTAAGGTAAGAATCCTTTTGGTTCAGATGTCATCTGTGAATAGTCAGATATCACCTTCCTATTCTATTGCACACATTTTTGTCTAA